CCCCCCCCCCGATGCAAAACTCAAAAGATAAAGGATCCCAAATGCCCCCTCTTTGCAACCGCTCCCTGCCCGCAGCAGCCCTGGCTGCTTAAAATTTGCCCATCCTGTTTTTGTTCAGGGCAAATTGAGGCCTTGCATCAAAATGCTTCTGGGCCTGTAAGAGGTTTCCTATTGATTTGCAGGTGCTTTTCCTATAGATACAGAGCTGCAACTTGACCCTGAGCTATGAAATAAAAATCAGTACGCAAAATAACCATGACACAACCAGGAGAGTAAAACCCACCATCCGTCTCTCTGCATGAGTTCCTGCACTAGAAACACCTGAAGAAGGATTCATACAGAGATGCAATGGGGAACTTCCGGGTAGGTGATAACTCAAGCTGGGTCAAATATTCCCCATGACACACACTTCTGTTGACCACTCACCTGTTGTGCAAGATGCAATTATTAATTTTTAAACTCTTCCCTTTATATAGGCGACACATCCACTTTGGGAATCGCTTTATGATCAGTCAAGCCTCACTCAGAACTTGATGAGGCTCTGGAGAACAAACTGCAATACACACTTTTGCAACAAATGTAATAAGAAGCCACAACGTTCTTAATTATTTTGTTGCCACACTGCTTTCTGCAAGCCCACCTAAAGGTTACTGGGTGACTCAGGTGAAATCATCATTGGGATCTGTTAGCGTTACTGCAGCATTATTATTCACACAGTATTATTAATGTGCTTGCTCCTTTATGAGACAACAAGTATTTGTCCAGGGATGGGGTGGGGAGGGCAGGGAGCTACACTCTTGCATTGTAACTGGAAACTGGAAAGAAGAAAGAGAGGAAGGGGGCAAAATGGAAATGGGAATCATATATTTCAGTTACATACAATATACTTAGATTTCATTAGCTGACCTTGCTTGATCTCAACAAGCTAAACAGGATCAAATCTGGTTATGCTGGGATGGGAGACCATGAGGAGATGCCAGGGCTGCAAGAAGAATTCTGAAATTCTTAAAAAAAAAAAAAATCTGAAAGCAGCAATGGGAAGTCACTTCTACACTCTTGCCAAGAAAACAACACGGAAGTATCCATAAAGTCAGTGGGTAACCAGTCCAACTCAAAAGAAGACTATTGTAGGCAGCCATCTTGAACCCAACTCCCTCCAGATGTGTTTAATTACAACTCCCATAATGCCCCGGTTATCATCACCCTTTGTCTAGGGATGAAGGGAAGTGAAGCCTTACAGATCTGGGGGGTGCTCAAGGGCGATGGCGGCTGCCATTGTGCCCAAGGCCTCTTGGAAATGTTGGAGGGGGGGAGAGATTTAAAACTCCAGGCGGTTCTGAGGATCAGAGGAGGCAAAATGAAAAGCGTGGTGTCTTTTGAAACGAGAACCTAGGATGGCAGAGACCCGGGAATGAATCCTGCCCAATCCAGCCTGACTCGGGCTGCCCAAACAATTCCATTTTCTGAGATGGGTTTGCAAATGTTTAAAGACATTTCTGAATGGTACCTGGTTAAGAGTGAAGGGATTCAACGAGCGTACATTCATATGTGCTTTGCAGCCTTGAAGAACCAATGCGCGAATTCAACGTCTGGTTTTCAAGTGGGCCACATCTGCTGAAGGGCTGAGCTTTCACACCCACGGGAAAGAAGCTGCAGCATTTACATTTCAGATGCCACACCTGTCCCAATGAATGCATCCCTAAAGGAAACAGGCATTTCTGGACATCTGCTTTGACCCACTGATCATACTCAGTGTCATGTTTATGAAAAGCTGTCATCAAAGATGCCTCCAAGTTGCCCCAAAATCGCACATGGTAAATTGACCAAATAATCAAGCCTGGCTAGACTGTTCTGGAGTTTGTTTTATATCAAGATAGAATGGCATGACATTTGGCTACTGAAAATTAACCACCTGAGCTCATATCCTGATTCCAACCAGTGGAAAATAGTTTATCGAAAAAGCTACAGAAAAACAGAGAGGGTGTCATTCTCTTCTGAGGACACTTTTCCCCATAAAACCTGATCTTCTGAATTCACTCAGTTTTCACACACCCCAATAAAACGTGCCTTACTTGTGGTCCACAAGCAAACCAAGATGACATTTGATCCAGGTCAGGTTGAAAAAAAAATACGACAAAATGTAATTTGTTACTACAATTACAGCCACATGTTTGAATCAGCTCCAAAAGGAAATGGTTCAAACATTTGAAGCTGGAATGACAGTCCTTTCTCGGCTGCAAAGCTCGCATATTCCAATTCTTAATCTTGCCTTTCATTTGCAAGCCCCAAACTCTACAAACTGTGTCCCACAAATAGTTCTATGATTGCACCAGAACCTCACGCAAATGTACATGGTACCTTGAAATTGGAGATCTGAGCCTGACTATATAGATAGCCCCATTCTGAGCTGGCAAAATGAACAGTACCGCTGGAGACAGGAAGTGGAGGGTATCCATTTAAATCTTCCCCAGTAAAAAAAGAAAGAAAATACAAGGATTATTATCCAAACTAAGACACCTCCCTGCAAGTAGAAACAAAGTACATCAAAGAGAAAAGCTGTACCTCTGCCCAACATTTATCTTGCCATGTTGGTTTTCTATTTGCAGAAGTCTTTTTTTTTTAAAAGAACTTAAGGAGCCATTTATCTGCAACATGACCTGATGTAACTTTCACTTGACCTCCTGCGGTTACTTTTCGTATAACTGATTTTGTTAGGATCCCTTGAAACACGAGGCTGTGACTTGGAGCCAGACGAGAACTGAGTTTGGATTGGGAAACCGAACCTTCTCCCAAAGCAGAGGTCCTTCTGAAGCAGGAGAGGGGACCCATTCGCCAACTTGTAACCCTGGCTGGTTCCTCCTGGTCAGACACATCCCTGCTATCAAATACCCCGAAGGCTTGATTAAAAAGGAAAAAAAAAAGATAATCCCAAATAACGAAGTCTCAGAACTCCCTGAGATGGGAAAACGAAGTCTGTCTTATTAAGAGACGGTGGCTGACGTCTCCATGAGCCTGCATCTCCTCTGCTGAGTTCGGTGCCATCTTTGTAACTACGGGCTGCTGGAGCTGAAGCGAGGAGACCCTCCCCTAGCAGGGAAGGGAGAACCAGAACTGGGCCCTCTGCAAAAAGACAGCTGCTTCCAGGCCCCCCTGGCTGTGCTGCGGCTCCCCTTCCTCTCCGCGGCGTTGAGTTAAAAAGCAGTACGGCGAAGGGGAAATCTGCTTTTCCTGCTTGTCAAGCTTGCTGACGCGCAAACTGGGAAGAGCCCAGGACACTGCAGGCGACCCAGGATCGGGCCTTCCCTTCCTATCCGTAGCCGGTCGCCTTGGAATTAATGGTGGGCTATTGCTTTCAAGGCTGTCTTGCCTCCCCTCCCAGTTCAAAACCACCTGGCTGGGAAAACAGGGCAGAGGAGTCGGAAATGGTACGGGAGGGCGCAAGGAAGCGCTCTCTCCCCATGGCCCTGGTTGCTACCTGAGGTTGACAGATGCACAATCAAAGTCCTTCTGTGGGCACTGGCGTGTCTTTGGAAGGGAAAGGGTGGGTGGGCAAGCTGGGCCAGACCAACTGCCCGAAGGCCGGGGTCAGACCACGTTGTCGGGGGGGCTGTGGTTTGTCTTTTGATGCTGGCAGTTCCTTTCATTCAAGAGGCCGATCGTTTCGTTGTTTGCCAGGGTGCCCCCCTTTTCGGGCAAGGAGGTGTCCAGTTTGGGGGGGCTCCCGTCGGGGGTCTGGGGACAGCTCTCCAGGCGGGAGGCCATGAGACCATTTTGGTACTGGAGGCGTGTGATCTGTAGGGTAGAGAAAGAGAGAGGGGGTGAAACTCAGTATGCAGAAGCATGATTTAAAATAGTAACAACTCCTCAAGCTGGGCATGGTGGAAAGAAATCTTCTATTATATGCATGCATTAATTATGCAAAGAAAGCATATTGATATAGATACACACAGATACAGCCACAGGCTTACCCTTGTTTTGCATTATCCACTGCTTCTGCCAATCATGGGGAGAATTAAAAGCCATGATTCCCTACCCTTTAACCTACAAGGATTTCTTTGGTGATTATTTACCAGCATCATGCATTTTCAACAAAAGGAACTAGCAACATGATGCTAAAAACTGCCCAGGCTGATAAATTTATTTATTTATTTATTAGGCCACCCTGCTCCAAAATGAGTCTGGGAGTCTTCACAAGATTAAAAAGCAAGAAAACAACATTATATAAAAGAACATGGTCTTCCCAAGGGAACATGTAAAATGCTCCCTCATCACATCACCTCCCACACCACCCCCAAACTGAAGAGTCCACCAAACGCCGTAAGCCAAGGCCTGGGGAAGGAGCTCAGTTTTTAGGGCTGGCTTGAAGGAAACTAGGAATGTCTCGCAGGATGCTGTTCCAGGGGCAGAGGCTGTGACAGAGGAGGTCCACTTCTTGGGTTCCACAAGATGCCATTGCTTGACTGATGGAGCCTGACCCTGTCTGATTGCACAAGACAGGCAGGCACTATGGGAGACAAATGGTCCCTCAGACAGACAGACTCTAGGCCATATAGGGCTTTGTGGGTCATAACCAGCATCTCGAATTGCACCCAGAAGCTTAATGGTGACCAGTGCAGTTCACAAAGGGGAAGTGTTACATGGGCATAGTGAGGCCTGCTGTAATGGTATGTGAGAAAGACCTTGAAAAACAGGGCAAAAAGATGCGGCTTAGGGAATGGTCAGATAAGAGAGGGCATAGCCCGCAGCTGCACAATGGGTGGAGAAAGAGACTCAGAAGGGACCCTCCCTAACTTCTTAGGCTGTAAAGGAGAAGGCAGGAGAACTGTACTTTGCAAGATTGATGTCGACTTTCCGCAGTAGACCAGACAGGAAACATGACCAGATGAGCTAATTCTACTTTATTGTAAGGCTACATTAACAGAATCCATAACCAAACAAGGCTATGCCTCTTTCACTTTCATTGGACCAGCCCAGTTGGAGTCCAACTCTGAGTGAATCCAACCAACTTTGGCCTGCTAGATGCCTAGAATATTCTTCAGAGCAGCCCAGTAGATGGTCCTGAGGCTTCCCCTCACCAACAAGAGATGGGTCACCTAAAGAGGGGCCATGGTCAGCTATTAGTGGGTGTGGTAAGAACAGAGAAGTTACATTTTGTTGCTCTTATCACACAACTTAATTTGTAATATGGGCTCTCACATGTGCTCCGTTGGGTTTACTTTTTATTCTCTTCCAAAGGCACTCTAGGCATCTCTTCTGACTTTTCAGTTCCTGGTGTTCCTGGGAAAACTAAGAGGCCACCAGAATTGATGTACAGCAAGAGGATGTGTAGGAGCAATCTGGTTCAAAGCCATCTTCCCCCACCTATTCCAGGCAGAAACTAAGGCCTGAGAAGAGCAGCTGGTCAGGTTCCTAGGAAAAAACTCAAAAGCCCTCTGAAATTCTTCTGGGTCATCAAGTGCTTGGGACAGACGAGTCTAATAGTTCCTACCTCCCTACTGACTTGGAGATAGTACCAACAAGCCAAACGTCAGAGAATGATCTGTCCATGGCAAAGGACTGAGAGTAATATCCTCCACTTTCAGATCACGTTGCAGCTGCAAGACAAAACCCAAACCTAGTGGATGACCTTCAATATGCATTGGGCTCTCAATGATGTGCAAAGGGCCCATGGTTGCCCATGATCTCCCAAGTGGCCCCAGTCTCAATCATGCCCAGGGCCAAGTTAAAATCCCCAGGGACTATCAATCTCAGGGAGTCAACTGCCAACTTGGCCACAGAATCCGGCAGCTCAGGCAGGGATGTCACTATGCAACAGGGAGACCAGTTCAGTGGTAACAAATCCAACTCTTCTGTAGAGCCCAGCCTCAACCACAAAGACTCACATCCAGTCATCTGTGGCTCAGATACTCTGAAAGATGTCAGAGCTTCCTCCATGACAATCTCCACCTTATTCTGCCCTGGGATTGCCACTCATGAAACCCTGGTGGGTGCATCTTCAAGATAGAAACACCCCTCTCTGGGTCCAGCCACCCTTGAAACAACAATCAACTCAGTACAGAGAACCAGCTTGTTAAGAAGAAACCATTTTCCTAAGTAGCTAGCTTTCTCCATTTTTTAAAAAAATCTGCTTTTACAGTATCTGAATGGATGAAACCAGGAATTAGTTCACTTTAATCCATGGGAGACTTAGGCCTAAGGCTTACCTTGACATACTGGAGGTCTGTAAGAGCACGAACACTGAAGTCTGAGAGGTACTGGGAACTCGTGTTGGCATTAAGCTGGTTGTTGCTGCCGCTAAAGTTGGAAGAGATAGAGTCGGAGCGCTCATGGTAGCAAAGAGACGCCGAGCGATTCAGATTACTCATATGAGATGGAGAACGGATTTCTGAAACTAGACAGAGACAAAGATGATCCAGAAACCATGTTCCACCTGTACCATTCCTCCATTTATTTGATTCTTTCTTAGAAGGTGGCAACTCTTAGTCCACCTTGGCTGACTTCAAAAGAGCTAAGCAAACCTAGGTCACTTTTGTAATGCTGCCAAGGACACCTCAGGGACCTGCCCACGAAGTCACCAGACATTGAGCTGGACATGGGGAGTCTTCTCCTTAAACTTTCCTCAAAGGGGTCACAGAAGCAGCATCTCCTCTTCCAGTTTTTTCCCCACAACAATCGCCCTCTGAGATAGGTTAGGCTGAGGAACACTGACTGGCCTAATGAGTTTCTGAGGTTGGGCTTGACCTGCATCCTGCTTCAACACTGCATTCACGGGTGCACATTTTGGGGTCCAGGACCCTAAAACATAGATTGGAATGGCATGCAAGCAACACACTCCTCAAAGTGGGTGGGGCAGGACAAAATTTAAGTTTGGTTTCACTTACATTAAATAATTGTCTCTGTATATTTAATAGTGTTCTCATTTTTCACATTAAGATAGCAATCCAGTGGCAACTTTTGAAGAGTCTCTGGGGACTGGACTTGTTCCCCATCAAGCATCACTTGCTTTTTAACTCTGCTTGAAACCCGTCTCTTTTTCAGCACAGAAAAAGATGCTATCCATGGAGCAAGTAACACGGCACACGGAACATTTTATTGTCTATCACCTTCTAAGTCCGCTTCCTACATGGATGGCCTCAGAGGAATACGTGATGTTGTGTGTGTTGACATCGTTTGCATGACCTCATGATGTCATTGTGCCTTCTACTGGGTGTCTATGACTTCACACCACAATGTGAGCATGTGCACATCTATGTGCTCCAAAATATGGGCAGGATTGCTAACTTCTACAACAGGTGAAGGCATAGGACCCTGAACCTCCAGGTTTAGCTTCTGAGAGTTTGGTTTGGGTCAACTGTGCATCCTAGCCACCATCAAGATTAACTGCATAGAATGATTCTGTGCATTTTAGGGTAGGACCATTCAAAGAGCACCAGGGCTGGCAAGAGAATTACCCTTCTCCAATGTGTTGGGACTTCAACTTCCAGAATTCACAGCCAGCAACATCCTTGGCCAGGCTGAGTAGGAATTCTGGGAGCTGAAGTCCCAAGACAGCTGCCAGATGCCAGGCTGGGGAAGGCAATTCTAGTGGCTTTAGCATGGCAGATAGTTTTCAAATACATTTGGGGCTGGGGCTGCAGAAAGGGGAGCTAGAGAATCATCTTGGCATCTCCCTGGGCAATTCGGTGTACCAGTTGCCTAAAGGTGCTGGTTGCTGACCCCAGCTCTGATGAGCAGGCCCCCAAACCCCTGCTGAAGCACACAATTCCTCTCCACCCAGCTGCGAGGTCTTAAGAAGAAACCCAGATTTTGCTGTGTGGTATTGCAAAACCAGAGGCAATGAGCTGGACAGCGATCTTCAAGGTCTTGCTTAAAATGAGACACCCGAGAAAACCTGAACATAGCATGCTATTATTTAATACACCACATTCCTGTCCTTAGCAAAGCACCCTAACCCAGGTCAATTAAAGACCTAGAAACTACATTTGCGCAAAAAGCTTAACTTGGTTTGTGTGAAATTGGTTTAAATGTTTCTTGTACTCGGTTGTGCAATGAGAGCCAGTTTGGTGCAGCGGTTAGAGGCGTGAGACTGGAACCAAGGAGGCTGAGTTTTAGGCATGAAGCCAGCTGCGGGACTTTGGGCCAGTCCCCTCTCTCTCAGCACTAGGAAGTGGGCAGCAAGGCCAACCCCTTTCTGAAAACATTGCCAAGAAAACCTCAAGGAGCTGCCAGGAGCCGGGACTGACTTGAAGGCACAATTTTTTCAATGCAAAATCCAGTTTGTTCAATTGGTTTATGATTCAATGTATTGCACACAGCAACCCCCCCCCCCAAACGGGCTTCATTCAGTAATAAGTTGTATGTTGTGCAAATCCAGATGGGGAGTGTTCCCTACTGTATTTTATTTTTGCAAAGCCAAGGACAGAGAGGAAGGCAGAGGGGAGAGGCGGGGAACCAAAGCCATTCCGGTGAATAGGGAGCCGAAGCCCCCTCTCTCCAGCCCCATATTCCACCTGCAACTCCAAGCATTTTTTAAAGGAATAACGGTGCATTAGCCGACTCCTTTGGCCACCTCTCCTGTACCGCAACCTGTGCCGTTGAAGTCCAAGCAAAGCGTTAATGCGCAGCAGTCACCCCCGAGCATCAAATGCAGTTTTTTACCTGACAGCTTGGAATGCAAAGACCCTCGCTGTATAAGAGACTGGTGGTGGGGTCTGTCCGGCGGTGCTGCACGCACATACACACACAGGGCGGAGGTGGGGGGACCGGCAAGGGAGAGATGCAAAAGGAGAACAAAAATCAAAAATAACCTTGCCATGCAGGGAATGACAATATTATAACCGTGGTTGAAAGGAGAACCCGAAACAGAGCAGGCTGGCTGGCTTCCCAGCTGATCCATTGGGGTGCCCAAAGCGGAAAAACCGCTTATCGGAGCTCATCTATTTAATCCGCACAAGGAGAACCTCTTTGGGCAAACGGACTGTACTGTGCAACTCTCAGCACAACTCTGAGAGAAAACTTTGTTTTCTTTTTTTCTAAAAAAGGAGCTTGAGCAAAAAACGTCCGTTGAGTCAGTCAAGCTCACGTCTCTGCTGGGTCCCCCTTCTGCACCCCAAATCCACTGCCAGAGCAGGTCCCCTTAACTTAACTCCCCTTCTCTCGGTCACTCGTGGCCTGGTCATCTCCTGTCTGGACTACTGCAACACGCTCTACATGGGGCTGCCCTTGAAGAGTATCCAGAAGCTTCAGCTGGTCCAGAATGCAGCTGCGCAGGCAATTTTTGGGGCCCGAAGAAGGACCCATATAACACCTCTGCTCTGTGAGCTGCATTGGG